GATTTGGGTAGCCCGTACTATCCAAACGGTTGGATTTTTGGCAGCCCGTTGGATGCCTATTTGATGTTCAAACACACCCGAACGTATGAACGAGAAATGAGCTTCGACTTTGGAGACGGACTTAATCATTGTTGATTCATTTATGTACATTGTAGCATGTAGCAACGCACAAGCGTTCTACTTTAATCATTTATTAACTTGCTCAAACGTATGGAAGCTGTTTTTATTATACTTGCTGAAACATCGTGCGAATGAAGCTAAAGACAACTTTTCTGATATTGTGCGAGAATTTCTTAACTGCATCAAGTAGATCTTAATAATTTATAATAGATTTTTTGTTGGACCATCGCTTCATATGTACATCATCAATTTGCCATTTTGTTATCAGTTTACATTACAAGTGAAGTGGACTTAATTATTATGCAATTGTGACCGTGTTATATTGTCTCTACACCTGTGAAATTTAACATGCATTATCTATATGTAAGTTCAGAAAATTATTTCAGAATGATTAAGGTACTAGTGATAAGACTAAGATATAACTCATTGTAAACCTCTTTTTTTTGCTATATCTAAATTGCGTGGCAACACTAAGATAAGATAGCCTTATCAACCGTTGTACATGCTTTGACAGCGAATTTGGGATATCTTATTGAGGTTTGAGGATATCTAGGATCTGCTTTTTATTTACTACTACCTCCCTTTTTAAATATATGACGTTTAGGACAACAACGATTTTAGTTCAAAATGAACTATTTTTTTGTCCTAAACGTCACATATTAAAAAAACAGAGGGAGTATTTGATTCTAACAAAAAAGGCGCGGAGTGTCTGTTCATGTGTTTAGACCCCATATGATGTGAAAACAAAGGTACATGCATGGTCCAGAGTGAAGGAAACGAGATTCTGGTGAAAAAAAGAAAAAGATAAAGAAAAAGGCAAAGGTGAAAAAAAAGTAGAAACAAATCACAGTTCATGTCCATGTTTCTTTTTAATGAAAAAGCCCGGTGTCAGTTCACGTTGTAGACCCAGATAACGTAAAAGCAAAAAGATACATGAGGTAGAGTGAAGAAAACGATGTTCTGTCCAAAAATAAAAAGATGAAGATGAAGGAAAAGACAAGAAAAATGTAGTGTGAAAACAACTCAGGATGGTTAGCCAAATAAAACCAGATCCTGCCCTAGCTTCATGTGCTCGCTGTCCTATCAATGGATGTTTCATTTCACTGTGAATACAGTTGCATATTATATACTTGCATTGCCAGCATTCATAGTCTAGTACTATGAATTTATAAGGTACTATTCCCTCCATTTCTAAATATAAGTGTTTTTAGAAATTTCACTATGGACTACATACGAAACAAAATGAGTGAATCCACACTTTAAAATGTGTCTACGTACATCCGTATGTAGTTTGTGGTGTAATCTATAAAAAGAATTATATTTAGGAACGAAGGGAGTATTATTTTTAAAAGGTTCATACTGTGCCGCTGCTTCCTGCTTCAGCGCTGTAATAAGCACGCTCTCGCTCGCTCAGCTAGCTTATTACTGTACTTTCTCTCAAAAAAAAGCTAGCTTATTACTGTACTTACATACGGGTGGCGCACCGACTCTCGCCTCCAACAGAGTGAAAACAGAGCAGAGCAAGTGGGAGAGAGGAGCAAAGCAGAGGCACTCCCTGTACTGTAGAGCAAGTAGAGGAGGGGAGAGGAGCAGAGGCCTTGAGCCGCACCGTCGCGCCGCGCAGCTTGAGCATCGGCCTTGTCGCCGGCTTCTCCTCGCCACCTGCGTCTACTTCTCCACATCCACATCGCCCCGCTCAGTAAGCACCTCCCCCTACGCGTGCGCATCTGCATTTGCGCCGAGTCCCCTGCGCGAATCCAAGAGGCTGGCTGGCTGACTGACGCCCTGTTCGTTCCTCCTCTTGTCTTCAGATTTGGGCGTCCAGGGAAGGAGGGGAGCAAGGGCGAGGCGCTGGACACCGGATGGTGACCACGACTGAAGCAACCCCTCCTCCCTCCTTGGCGCAAGGTAAGCAACAAATCATCTGCTTATTACTACTGGCATGCGCCGGCCATGGTCATGGCTCCCTCTCCCCTGCACTTTGGGGAAGACAGAGAGAACAACTGTATACTCACTGACATAGACAAACATAGCAAGAATGGGCATTAATCCCGATAGAGTTTCAATCCTTCAAACCTACTTTCAGTTGTATAATAGCATTGCTCGTTTCGGAGGGACAATGAAATATATATCAGACCACGCACAGTTTCTTTCTTTCTTTCTTTTTTGCCAAGAATGTACATGCTTTTACATGAAAATGAACTAATGGAACAATACAGCACACACACATCTATAGGTGCAGCTCGTGAAAGATATACTTCCACTGGGGAAAAGTTTTTTTTTAGAACATCAACTGTGGAAAAAGTTTGAACGTCAACAGCATATGCTACGGGTAAAGAATGGTACAATACACACGAATCAACAACATCGGCATGTGTGCATAGTTGCCCTGACTTCCAGCTCCTCCAGTGAGGGCAAGGCTTCCAGAACAAATCCATTCTCTGGTGAAGCTGAAGTCATAGACGTTTGAACATATGCCTATAAAGTTCCAGTGAGCAGTTACTCTATATATAACCATTTGTGTCGTACACACCCCTTTCATAATCTATATTGACAGGTATATATGGTCTTTGATTTTTTTTACCACTCATTAGTTCCTATTGTTCACACCGTTCATATGTAAGAACTCTTTTCACCATTGAATCCTTGCCCTATATAAGAATTCATTTTAAAGAAAATAACTTAATTCGCATCTATCGTCTAGCGCAGCGCCACTTGCTAGTTTCTTTAGAAGGGATCCGGCCAATTGCTTGTTTAGCTTGCGCTACCATGCATGGACGCTTCTCCGTTGATTGGCGAGTACTTCTCAGTACTTTTCGAGTACTCCCACTAAAATTATTTCTATCTGTTTGATCAAGCACACAGCTAAATCAAATAAAATAATATTTTATTACTGGTAAATCATTATTTCCAGTACTTTTTTTAGTACTTCCTAGTACTTATTTTATTTTCACCATTAGATTGACTTGATTCAACGGCTCCTAAAATCCCCAACCATGATAAAAGTTATATTTTGCTATATATCTCAGCTTGTGACTGTGGGCACGCATGCTGTTAACGTAGCTAGACTAGTATTGTAGCACTTCTCTCTCTGGTTTTGCCCGTAACTCTTACTACTCCGATGAATCCATCCATTCCAGGCGGGACATCGATGGCAGGAGCAGGGGCAGGGACAGGGCAAGTACTGCATCTATGGAAAGAATGGGGCATCCAGGTGCTGGTGCTGCTCAGCTTCTCCCTCCAGATCATGCTTCTCGTCATGGCAGAGCTCCGCCGGCGCATCGACTCCGGCGTGCTAAGGGCCTTTGTGTGGTCAGCGTACATGATGGCCGATGCTACGGCAATCTACGTGCTGGGACACATGTCTGTGATGAGCAGATCACCGGAGCATGAGCTGGTGGCGTTTTGGGCGCCTTTCCTCCTTCTGCACCTTGGTGGGCAAGACAACATCACCGCCTACAGCATCGAAGACAAGAAGCTGTGGCTGCGCCACCTGCAGACTTTTGTTGTGCAGGTGGCTGCAGCTACATATGTCGTCTATGCGTCTTCCATCCTTACCAGCGGGCTCCTCCGGGCAGCCACCATGTTGATGTTTGTGGTTGGTGTTGCCAAGTATGGAGAGAGAGTGTGGGCACTCAAGTGTGCTGGTAGTACCTCAGAGCAGGGAGGCAACTATCAACCTCTATTTTACGCCTCGGGATCCCATTACCGGACCATACCGTCCAAAAGTTGCAGCCCGAATAAGGAAGATTACCTGTTGGATGCTCACCTCTTCCTGGCTGTTCCTAAGAAATTCCTTATGAGCATGCTGCAGGATGAAGAGTTGCGGTTTCATGATGTAGATGAGCATGCTTTGGAGGAGGTGGTTGAGATGCAGCTCTCCTTGATGCACGATGTCTTGTTTACAAAGACTGAGGTGGTGCACAGTTGGTGTGGCCTCTGCGTCCGTGTCATCTCGTTGCCGGGCACAGCCGTGGCATTGTTGTTGTTTTATCTTTCACTTCTGGGTGATCATCATCATCATCATCATATGGCTGCTGGGAGTTACAGTAAAGTAGACATTGCTATCAGTTATGTCCTGCTTATTGGGGCTCTCGTTTTGGAGGTCATGTCAAGTATTAAGGCAATGTTCTCGAGCTGGACAAGTTCGTTCCTGCTAAAGCCGAGGAGGGATTTCACTAGGCCAGGAGAGGAAGAAAGAAGTATGAGGATCTTGCTTGGTCGTGGGATTACATCTGTCCGCCGGTTTGTGCATGCAGCAGAATGGAGAGGAAGATATTGGTCCGGCTCCATGGGGCAGCACAACCTGCTTCAGTTGTGCGTTGGTAGTAGGGTGAGCCGAATGAGCAAAATCGCGAGACTGATGGGATTTGAGGACCCGTGGAACACGCTGGCATACTGCTCCTCCATCCCTGTCTCGGCATTCATCAAGCAGCTGCTGGTCAACCATGTGCTGAGTCGCAGCGTCCTTCCAACAGATGAAGATCACATCGCTAACTCAAGGGGCCTGGCGGCCCTGAAGAGCAAGGGACTGTATGAGGAACTGGAATGGAGCTTGGACCCCAAAAGGTCCTTGGAGCAGACCATCCTTACATGGCACATCGGCACCAGCATCTATCTCTTTTGGTACAAAAAGGAGAAGCTGGAGCAAGCAAATGCAGCCGGTGGTCAAGGCGGCGACGACGCACAGAGGCAGCAGCAGGTTGATCTCGTCGAGGCGGTGGAGGCGCTCTCCAATTACATGCTCTTCCTTCTTGCCTCACGTCCCTACATGCTGCCTGCCCCTGTTGACCGTGGGATGTATGCTAATTCCTGCTATGAGTTGGTTGGTGTAGTGTGCAGCTCAGCTGAGGATCTGGCCAACTTGCTGCTGCGGTACTACAGGGAGGAGGCGGAGGAGGAGGCGAGACTGTCGTCTAATATGCCGTTTGACACTGTTCTGGAGAATAAGCCCAAGCAGCCGAACCTGTCTGATATCATCCCGTTTGACACTAGTCTGGGTGATGCACAAGACAGGCAAAAGGCCTATCGGCTGGACCTTACATTGCACCGTGGATGTAGGCTTGCCGCAGAGCTGATCCACAACGGGATGCCAGGCATGCCTTGTGCTGCAATAATGCCGGAGCTCATCGCCCAGGTGTGGATCGAGATACTATGCTACGCAGGCCACCGGTGCAGCGCGTACTCTCATGCCAAGCAGCTTGGCAGCGGCGGTGAGCTCATCACTATCGCTGCCCTTCTAGTGGAATATGTCAGCGTGCAAGCCCTTGCGATGCAACCACCACTGCCATCACTATCGCTACCCTTCTAGTAGTGGAACATGCATGTCAGCGTGCAGGCCCTTTCGATCGATGCAACCACCACTGCCATGAGAATCACCGGCCCTATACATGCATGCGCGCAATGCATCATTTATATATTTGTCTACTTATATATTTGGTAGATATATACGTCCCGCGTTATAAAGTAAGCGTAGTAGATTTATTTAAATATGGATGTACGTAGATTTAATTTTACATCTAGATACATCCATATCTAACAAATTTACAACACTTATTTTGGAACGGAGCAAGTATTTGTGAGTGTAATGGCTCTATATCCCATTTACGGTTAATTAAAGACTCAAAGGTGTACTCTTGGCTCTTGCCGTCCCAAAATACAAGGCATGCATGTGTTCCACATGGTGGTAAAAATAATAATAATCAATGTTTCCTCAAATAATACATCATTTATAACTCTATACAACACTAATATAGTCTGAATGAACTTTCAAATATGAATCTTGATACGGAGTACATAATTTTCTATTCTGATTTGTCAATGAAACAAATCTGTTGCGGGCTTACTGCGGTTCGATTCACAATCTCTGAACCTCAGCGCTGCTCAGTCCCCACATCCATGCTATGCTCTCCTTCATCGCGGGCGGCTGAACCCATCTCTAGCCTCCTACGGATCATCAGACATTGAAATTTAACACTACTTTCGTGAGAATCATATTACACCAACACTAGTAGAAAACAGGGCTTTGGTCACAGCTCAATATACACATTAGTCCCAGTTGCATTACAAACCAGGACTAATGTGAGCATTAGTCTCGATTCGAGCGGCTAAAGGCATTCGTCCCGGTCCAAATGAGTGTTGGAAATATGCCTTAGAGGCAATAATAAATTGATTATTATATTTCCTTGTTCATGATAATCGTTTATTATCCATGCTAGAATTGTATTGATAGGAAACTCAGATACATGTGTGGATACATAGACAACACCATGTCCCTAGTAAGCCTCTAGTTGACTAGCTCGTTGATCAATAGATGGTTACGGTTTCCTGACCATGGACATTGGATGTCGTTGATAACGGGATCACATCATTAGGAGAATGATGTGATGGACAAGACCCAATCCTAAGCCTAGCACAAAGATCGTGTAGTTCGTATGCTAAAGCTTTTCTAATGTCAAGTATCATTTCCTTAGACCATGAGATTGTGCAACTCCCGGATACCGTAGGAATGCTTTGGGTGTGCCAAACGTCACAACATAACTGGGTGGCTATAAAGATGCACTACGGGTATCTTCGAAAGTGTCTGTTGGGTTGGCACGAATCGAGACTGGGATTTGTCACTCCGTGTAGACGGAGAGGTATCTCTGGCCCCACTCGGTAGGACATCATCATAATGTGCACAATGTGATCAAGGAGTTGATCACGGGATGATGTGTTACGGAACGAGTAAAAGAGACTTGCCAGTAACGAGATTGAACAAGGTATCGGGATACCGACGATCGAATCTCGGGCAAGTATCGTACCGCTAGACAAAGGGAATTGTATACGGGATTGATCGAATCCTCGACATCGTGGTTCATCCGATGAGATCATCGTGGAACATGTGGGAGCCAACATGGGTATCCACATCCTGCTGTTGGTTATTGACCGGAGAACGTCTCGGTCATGTCTGCATGGTTCCCGAACCCGTAGGATCTACACACTTAAGGTTCGATGATGATAGGGTTATAAGGAATAGATATACGTGGTTACCGAATGTTGTTCGGAGTCCCGGATGAGATCCCGGACGTCACGAGGAGTTCCGGAATGGTCCGGAGGTAAAGATTTATATATGGGAAGTCCTGTTTTGGTCACTGGAAAATATTCGGGTTTTATCGGTAACGTACCGGGACCACCGGGAGGGTCCCGGGGGTCCACCAAGTGGGGCCACAAGCCCCGGAGGGCTGCATGGGCCAAGTGTGGGAGGGGACCAGCCCCAGGTGGGCTGGTGCGCCCCCCCCATAAGGGCCCAAGGCGCCTAAGGGGAGGAGGAGGGGCAAACCCTAAAGGCAGATGGGCCTTAGGGCCCATGCCTGGTGCGCCTCCCTCTCCCCTCCACCTGGCCGCCACCCAGATGGGATCTGGGGGCTGCCGCCACCCCTAGGGAGGGAACCCTAGGTGGGGGCGCAGCCCCTCCCCTCCCCCTATATATACTTAAGGTTTGGGCTGCCCAAGACACATGAGTTCCTCTCCTTCTTGGCGCAGCCCTACCCCTCTCCCTCCTCGTCTCTTGCGGTGCTTGGCGTAGCCCTGCTGGAGTACCACGCTCCTCCACCACCACCACGCTGTTGTGCTGCTGCTGGATGGAGTCTTCCTCAACCTCTCCCTCTCTCCTTGCTGGATCAAGGCATGGGAGACGTCACCGGGTTGTACGTGTGTTGAACGCGGAGGTGCCGTCCGTTCGGCACTAGGATCTCCGGTGATTTGGATCACGACGAGTACGACTCCTTCAACCCCGTTCTCTTGAACGCTTCCGCTTAGCGATCTACAAGGGTATGTAGATGCACTCTCCTTCCCCTCGTTGCTGGTTTCTCCATAGATAGATCTTGGTGACACGTAGGAAAATTTTGAATTTCTGCTACGTTCCCCAACAGTGGCATCATGAGCTAGGTCTATGCGTAGTTACTATGCACGAGTAGAACACAAAGTAGTTGTGGGCGTTGATTTTGTTCAATATGCTTACCGTTACTAGTCCAATCTTGATTCGGCGGCATTGTGGGATGAAGCGGCCCGGACCAACCTTACACGTACTCTTACGTGAGACTGGTTCCACCGACTGACATGCACTAGTTGCATAAGGTGGCTAGCGGGTGTCTGTCTCTCCCACTTTAGTCGGATCGGATTCGATGAAAAGGGTCCTTATGAAGGGTAAATAGCAATTGGCATATCACGTTGTGGTTTTTGCGTAGGTAAGAAACGTTCTTGCTAGAAACCCATAGCAGCCACGTAAAACATGCAAACAACAATTAGAGGACGTCTAACTTGTTTTTGCAGGGTATGCCATGTGATGTGATATGGCCAAAAGGATGTGATGAATGATATATGTGATGTATGAGATTGATCATGTTCTTGTAATAGGAATCACGACTTGCATGTCGATGAGTATGACAACCGGCAGGAGCCATAGGAGTTGTCTTAATTTATTTATGACCTGCGTGTCAATATAAACGTCATGTAATTACTTTACTTTATTGCTAACCGTTAGCTATAGTAGTAGAAGTAATAGTTGGCGAGACAACTTCATGAAGACACGATGATGGAGATCATGATGATGGAGATCATGGTGTCATGCCGGTGACGATGATGATCATGGAGCCCCGAAGATGGAGATCAAAAGGAGCAATATGATATTGGCCATATCATGTCACTATTTGATTGCATGTGATGTGTATCATGTTTATACATCTTATTTGCTTAGAACGACAGTAGTAAATAAGATGATCCCTCATTAAAATTTCAAGAAAGTGTTCCCCCTAACTGTGCACCGTTGCGAAAGTTCGTCGTTTCGAAGCACCACGTGATGATAGGGTGTGATAGATTCTTATGTTCGAATACAACGGGTGTTGACGAGCCTAGCATGTATAGACATGGCCTCGGAACACATGCAAAACACTTAGGTTAACTTGACAAGCCTAGCATATACAGACATGGCCTCGGAACACAAGAGACCGAAAGGTCGAGCATGAGTCGTATGGTAGATACGATCAACATGAAGATGTTCACCGATGTTGACTAGTCCGTCTCACGTGATGATCGGACACGGCCTAGTTGACTTGGATCATGTAATCACTTAGATGACTAGAGGGATGTCTATCTGAGTGGGAGTTCATAAGATGAACTTAATTATCCTGAACATAGTCAAAAGGTCTTCGCAAATTATGTCGTAGCTCGCGCTTCAGTTCTACTGTTTAAATATGTTCCTAGAGAAAAATTAGTTGAAAGTTGATAGTAGCAATTATGCAGACAGTAGAAGGCTTATGTCCTTAATGCATTGCTCAGTGTGCTGAACCTCGAACGTCGTCTGTGGATGTTGCGAACATCCGACATACACGTTTTGATGACTACATGATAGTTCAGTGCGTAATGCTAAATGGTTTAGAATTGAGGCACCAAAGACGTTTTTGAAACGTCGCGAAACATATGAGATGTTTCGAGGGCTGAAATTGGGATTTCAGGCTCATGCCCACGTCAAGAGGTATAAGACCTCCGATGATTTTCTTAGCCTGCAAACTAAGGGAGAAAAGCTCAATTGTTGAGCTTGTGCTCAGATTGTCTGAGTACAACAATCATTTGAATCGAGTGGAAGTTGATCTTCCAGATGAGATAGTGATGTTTCTCCGAACTCATTACCACCAAGCTGCTAGAGCTTCGTGATGAACTATAATATATCAGGGACATATATGATGATCCTTGAGATATTCGCGATGTTTGACACCACAAAAGTAGAAATCAAGAAGGAGCATCAATTGTTGATGGTTGGTGAAACCACTAGTTTCAAGAAAGGCAAGGGCAAAAGGGGATACTTCATGAAACGGCAAATCAGCTGCTGCTCTAGTGAAGAAACCCAAGGTTGAACCCAAACCCGAGACTAAGTGCTTCTGTAATAAGGGGAACAGACACTGGAGCAGAATTACCCTAGATACTTGGTAGATGAGAAGGCTGGCAAGGTCGATAGAAGTATATTGGATATACATTGTGTTAATGTGTACTTTACTAGTACTCCTAGTAGCACCATGGTATTAGATACCGGTTCGGTTGCTAAGTGTTAGTAAACTCGAAATAAAAGGTTGCGGAGTAAACAGAGACTAGCTAAAGGTGAGCTGGCGATATGTGTTGGAAGTTTTTCCCAAGCTTGATGTGATCAAGCATCGCACGCTCCCTCTACCATCGAGATTGGTGTTTGCGTTGAGCATAGACATGATTGGATTATGTTTATCGCAATACGGTTATTCATTTAAGGAGAATAATGGTTACTCTGTTTATTTGAATAAT